AAACAAACAACAACAACGACAACTTATTGGAAAACAACTTCAAAACGTTTTTGGCTGTTTTACCCAGGGGGCTGCTGCCCCAGGCAGAAAGCCGAGCAGGGTGGCTGCAGGCCCATAGCCTCCAGCTCCTCCTCCTTCCTCCCTGGCTTTTTGATGACCTCCCTGCTGGCACATCCTAACTCCTTCCTCTGCATCCCTCCTTCCACTCCCCATCTCCATCCCCATCCCTCCTCCAAAACTAACTCCTTGCTTTTGCCCCAAGCAAGGAGTGTGGGAAACAACCTTTCGGGGTGCAGTGGGAAGGAAATGCTGGGACAAAGGACAACGAGTGACCCAGGAAAAACAGCTCTGCCCTGGCCAGCAGACAGGATAGCTCGTGTCCAACTACTCCTCACACCAGAACGAAACTCACAGACGCTTAATTCACGTACGTACGGCCACAACCACAAGCTGTCTTCCCATGCTCCCTTCTTATCCTCTGGGCATCCTGCAGCCAGCCTGGGGCTGACCTGCTCTCACGCCACTTGAAACAGTAATTGATGGCAGTGAATTAAGTCCCAGTCCCACCTCTCCTGAGCAAACGCACCACCGAGCTCCTCCTGTCCAGTCTGTAGCTAAAAGTCCCACCAGATGCTCATCTGGGGATGTTTCACATTTCATTTTTTTTGACTAACTAGATGTTTTTTCCTTTTATTCTTACTTCAATACTGATTTTGCCATTGGGATTTTAGGCGTGCAGTGAAAAAGTGCATTGACCCCCCTAAAAAGTGTACATTTCTATATACAACATCTGTAACAGCCACATAATATCCAGAGGGTATTAAAACAGGTTTCAGTATCCTCTACAATTTACATACTACATTAGAAAACCACATTCATTATTAGCAAACATCTTAGGTGCAATGCCTCTTGCAGAAGAGACCTGAATCATACATTATACACACAAATTACATCACAATAGTGCATAGAGAGGCACAAAAATCATTCTTCCAAGGAACAGTTACATTGCCCAACATAAAACAAAAAGTGGGAAAAACCCAAAACAAGTATAAGGCCATTGCAAAGCGATCACCTTGCACAAGCAAGGAGAAGCAAAGCTACCACAGGGCACGAAATCCCGTGGGATTCCCTGAGGGAAATCCTCCTCGCAGCACTTCAGAAACGCGTCCGTGAACTAGACCTGAGCCGACGCTCCTCCCTGCTCTGAGCCCTGCAACACCCAACGCGGAGCTGCATGCTTCCACCACCCTTTCTGCGCCTCGTCTCCCTGGTTTTGTATTTAACTTGTTCGACTGCATGAAACCAGCCTGTGAGAACTCGAGCCAGGCTCTGCTGGCCATCAGCAGCTGACCCCAGCAAAGTCTTCCCTGAATCCATTTCAGGAGGATAGGAGGCACGTGTCTTGAGTCCTGACTCTCCTGTCACCCTGAGCATCTAGATTTGCACCCATTCTCGTTCCTGAAGGAAAGGGCAAGGGGCAATGAACAGGGGAGCAATAGAAACAGAGACCTCTTGTACCGAAATTCGTACTTAAACCTCATTCAGAGGGAAACACTAGGACCATTCAGAGAGAAATGGAAAATCACAATTTCTCTGCAAGCAGCTGAGAACACGAGGACTCTTGCAACAACTCGTAACAAACAGGCTACTTCATTTATTGTTTATTTCCCTATAGGAATGAACCGACCATCTCGGAAACTCCATTGCACAAAGGGCAGAAAATGTTATTTACAGGAGGGACATCCACCCCCAAAATAAGTTTAAGATGCACAGATTTATAATGGGAACCAGGAGGGAGGGGAGAGGACAAAACCAAAACTAAGGACACTGCGGTCATACTTCGAGTTTCAGTTACAGAAGAGATCTCTGTCTCCATGTCAGGGGGGTTTTCAACTACTAAATAAAACAACATCTTAAAAATAGAACATTTGACAATTTCTACACACGTATTATTTCTTCTAAATAAATACTGCATGGAAATGATGCTGCTTTGCCACCATAGCTGCCTCCTCCCCTTCTGGGACATCACCTCTGTTTTTCCTTGGATTCATGGTTTTGTTTCCTAATGGCAAATGCTATTTCCTCCACTGTTGTGTTTTGGTTTTGGTTTTATTTACTTTTTTTTTAAAAGGCCTGAACAGGCCCAAGTGAAAACAATGAGCATCTTTCCTAACCCTTTGCAGGCCTCTGACCTGGCTCAAGGTTGAAGTACGACGGCTTTTTAAAAATTACCTATTATTTAAACAGTCTTCTCCATGACCTGAAATAAAACATAGCTTCCCGCGACACTACTGATGCTTCCACAGATCGCTTTTGAAATGTTAACCCCCAAACAGCCCCCACGCGCCCGCCACACCAACTGCCCCTGATCTCGTTTCCTCCGAAGCTCCAGGGAGTTTGCCCTTGGAGCGGGAGCAGTCCTTGCACGATAGCAGAGCACGTGCCAGCCGTAAAGCAGCAAATGCCAGCAGCTCATCTGCCTTCACTGGGTGTCCTCTCACTGACTTTGCTTGCCCCATGCCCCTGCAGGAGCTTTCCCAGGCAACAGACCATCACTGTCTGGGCAGTAAAGCATCCAAAGGGCAGGCTAGGACAGGAGCTGGTGCGCTCGAGGGCTGCCCAGAGCTGGATGTAGGACGGGGCAGGCCCGTGCCTTGCCTCGTGGGCTGGGGCAGGCGGTCTCCCTGCGGTGGGCAAGCTGTGAGCAAGCGGCTCTCTGACAGGAACAGGGAGAGGGATGGGTGTACACAAAAAGAAAGTACCGGGGGAACTCGTGTTCCTGCTTCACCCTGTGCTTACCCAAACACTCTGCTACAGCTCTTGCAGACTCCCACAGTGGTTTTCGGGTTCAATAAAGCTTTCTTCCTTCCTCCTCCTCAGCTGGTGATCCTAAAAATAGCTTTGTTCCAAGACAAAGTCAGAAGAAGGCATTGACCCACTAGTCTGGAATCAAGCTCCAAAGTGCACGTCAAGCCTTCAGGCCGGCTGGCCATCCCCACAATTCCTGAGAACAAAAGAGTTAAGCTGAACCTCTCTGTCCCTGGCTTACTGGAGTCATCCAGGGAGGAAGAGTACAAGTGGAGTTTGACAGGTGAAAAGGGGAGAGGGGCACATGGACCGACCTTCCACTCCTTAGGACAGCTTATCCTTGAAACGCACTAAGGCTTTTAATAAAGTGAACATAAAAGGGCAGTCCCTTGAAGGTGCGGGAAGATCCAGCCAGGATCCCGGTGGTCCTGTGCTGCCAGGGAAGTCGGAAGAAGAGCTCCCTTGTGCTGGGAACTGGGGCAGAGCTGCAGTGGGATCTGTCAGCTCCTCCCAGAGGCAAGATGACTCCAGGCTTCCCCGTGGCAGGGGCCATTTCTACAGAAATTACTTTGGAAATGGAGACTTTTAGCTGGTATTTATTTACTGTCCATTTTCATGAGCCTCAAAACCACGTGCAGGTGTTTTAAGAGGGGGCTACCTGCTGCACACGTGCAGACCTGTCCCTCCATCCTGAAATCACGTGGACAAGAGAGTTAATTCTTTCCTGTAAGCACAATTATTTTGAGACACCGTCCTTTTCTTCGCCGCTCCCATAGGTCTGTCAGAGATGGGGCGAGGGATGCGAGAGAGGACCAGGGGGCTAAGGCACACTATTAGATATGAGGACGGCAGGATGCTGCTGTCTCACAACAGGAAATCTTTCGGAAGAGAAGGGTGTCATCTCACGGAATATATGAATGCCGCGGATGCCGCCTTCGCTGTTACTGTCACCCGCAAAATCGCGATATCGAAAATGTAGCTCCTGACAAAAAAAAAAAGCTCGCAAACAACTTATTATTCCCTTTCGTGTTCCCTCGACAGATTTCTAAGTCACTGTGCCCATCCTGTAGTTTGGCTGAGAAAGAGCACATGAGTTCTCCCACATGAAGGATGCCCTACTTTGGTACCAAAACCTGCTCTCAGATATTGACCGAGATCAGCAACGGTTGCAGGCAAATATCCAAAACCAAAATTTGTCTTTTGTTCCACACTCAGTCACACTTAGTCCCTGCTTAAACAGAAGCGATTCCTTCCCATGTAAGCTCTCAAACTCAGAACAATGTCCAAGCAACCAGAGCAACCCAGTACAGCTGTCCACTCCCACCCACCAAAATGACAAACGGCAGTTAGACAAGGAGTCCTCAGTGTGCGTGACGTCCCCCCACCGCAGAAGAGAGGCAGAGCTGTTTCCAACCACACCTGGTCATTTTACCACCCAACTGTGTTTGGCTCACAAGACTTGCACTGAGCAAGACCCCAAGGAACATAGTTCAAGAGCTAAGGTCATGTGTGTGCGTGAGTGTGTGGCAAGGAGGACGACCAAAGCAGCGACGACTTAAAAAGTGACTTGCAGCACTGAAGGCAGTGGCTTCCCCTGATTCTCGGGACAGCAGCTGGCCGACGAATGCAAGAAGGTGAGGTTGGAAAGCAGGAAAGGCAGTAACATATTTATTGTAAAATAACGTTGTCTGATGCTGAAGAGGTTGCTACTTGCTATCCGAGGAACAAAGACACCAAAAATTGCATCCGTGCTTGCAAAAAACATTTCTCTAACATCTTCTGGGCGCACGACTGTTGCAGACTGTGGTATGTTGTGTAATAACTTCTGGAGGCAGATTTCATTCTCGACGGCACTTCTTCACGTGTGATTATTGTCCTGCTGGTTATTCATAACAGAAATGTTTATAGACCATCAATACATTGAGCCGTTCAGACAATTCATTGCACTTCGTTGTTTTTAAAGGAAGGTGCCATCCATGCCGAGGCTTTCCTCCATCTGTTGTTTTTCAAGGCAGCAAAGCGCTACCCTAAAAACACAGTTCAAAGTTTTTTTCCAGTGTAACCAGATCCCTTCCACTTTGATATATTTTCCCTTGCAGGTGCTTTGTATCCAACAATTAAACAAACTAAACTGTTTCTGAGGCTTCAAAAGTGCAAAAAAAGTTAAGGTACTTAACCATCTTGAGCACCAGTTAAGGCATATTTGAGTACGGTCTCAGCCACTGTAAACCCTGTTTAGTGTAGTGTATCAGTTCAGTCAGGCGACTGGTCAGTGTCAGAGCGCACGTCACTGTGCTGAGTTCAGCAAAAAACTCTGGAAAAAGAGGAGGGAGAGAGAAAACATTGGGTTGGTTTCGCACAACGGGCACGACCGACGGGTGAGGAGCGCCAACGGCATCAGCCAGCAAGTCCCGTTAAACAAACTGTTAACGCAGAGAGCTCGGCAGTACCCGAAAGCTGCCAAGTGCCACAAGCACACAGGGCAGGGAATGCGGGAGGAAAACGCACTCCTACGTGCATACACACTCTGAACCACCTCCTCGAGCACCGGCTTTAGAAGGACACAGAGACTCCATGGAAGGTGGGCAGAGGTTTGGGTGTACACACTCCACTCCCTGCCGCGTGCTTCTCCAGATTTTAAACATGCCAAATTTAAGCATCTTTCTGAGCAATGCCCGGGAGCACACACAGCTGTCATCAGACTGGCTCCTTTCCCTGATCCACCCTCAAACCTTGGAAACATCATGATTTCTCAACTGAACAGGTTTAAAAATCTGTATAGCTTGCCAGGCTGTACAGCTCTGATTTAGGTTCCTTATAGCTGGGCACGTCAGGCAGATTTAACAGAGTGCCCCTATCCTGCTGCCAACTTCAGGCACTACGCTCCTCCTGCCACACGGCAGGAGACCGCTCTGGCAGCGTATCTGAACCTGCCAGGAGGTGCTGGCAGGCTGCACATCCTGCTCCGTGCTGGCAGTCATCTGTGCAGGTAACAGTGGGTTATGGAGAACTATCACTCCTATTCCTTTCCAGCCACCTTTCCAAGACATTGCTGCATGACTTGCCCTCCAGTGACATGGGCTTGTCTCAGTCCCTCCAGCCTTGATCATGTTGCCAGGTATCTTCGAAAACTGGCCATTCTCAGCTCTCCTTTTTTACACACAAAGATTGAACCTGGAGGTTGAAAATTTCTGCTTGGCTGTGCAAGGAACTCTTCAGAAGCAGAGAGTACAAGACTTCCACTCTAAAACTTTCTAATTCAGAAGCAGAGAGCACATTTTCCTCGATTTTCCTGCTTTTGTTTACAAAACGGGTATCCATTCCCTCCATGGAGAACAGAAGGACTGTAAGCAGAGACAAGGAGTCCAAACACCCTGCCTGAGCAAACAGATGATAATCTGATCTGTAACCACAGCACAATGTGAAAGGAGAGCGACTTCACATGCACGCATGCAACCTCGGCTTGCCCTTGCTGTGGGAGATCAGAGGCTGGAAGACAACCTGTTGCATCCTCATGATCCACAACACTAAACTACAGTGAGGAGCTGGGTCCTGCACTGGAAGCACCTGGCTGTGGACCTGCCAGAAAGCACTTCAACTCTGCACAAGTGACTCAGACATCAGTTACAATTAACTGCTTTCCACTAACTTATGACTTCCCTGTTTAAGGGAACCTGATAGCTGAAGGTCATTGCTCTTTCCTCTTCTCCTTATGCCCTATGAATTGCATAAAACAACCAAGGATGTAGTCTTTTTTTTCAGTTTTATGTGCTCAGTCTCTGTACCTCTTAGCATCTGTACCTTAACACCGAGTATCACCAAGTTCCACTTCTGGAACTCCTTCACTGTCCCGAACAGTGACAATTGCCAAGCCTACATGAGTATTTACTGTTCTCCTTCACAAATGTAGTCCCTTGGGAGTATTTACTACCCACTTATCATTCCCCTACAATAAAAACAGCAACACAGCAGGTTTTTCATTTAGTCTTGACTGATGAAAGGTTGTGCTTAGGCTGCCCTCCCACAGGTTTTCCTCCAAGACTCATTCCTCTGACTTACCAACAGCATCCACTGGTCTTTCTATGTGACAGACTTATCAGCCTTTTGAGGGTATAATCCAAAACACTACGCATGACTTGCTGCTGCAAGCACAGATCTGCTCAGAGGACAGCCAAAAACTGCAGTTACGTTATTCGAAGGTGACTTGCAAAGCCTTTTGAATTTCAGTAACTGCCTCATTAGCATGAGTATTTTTACAGCTTTCCAACAATCCAGCTGGGCACATCATGCTTATTTTCTTTTGCAAGTTTGCCAACAGATCATGACAATACATTCCTTCGCCCCCAGTAGCTCACAAAACTTTGTTTTATGAAAAATGACACTGCAAATGTCACATGGGAGAGCAGGTTACAGACTGAACCGCACCGACTCCAGGGCTTTTGCTTATTCACCACCGCTTGTACCACAGGACAATACAACGTTTTTAACAATCACACTGTAAAATAAAAAGAAGTAGCAGCCAATTTAGGAAACGCTACTGGCAAATACTGGTCAAGTGCCCAGCAAGGATGTCAATTCAAGTGCTGCTCAGCTTCTCTGTTACAGAGAGAAGCCAGCTTCATTGTTTTCAAGACAAAAATATACCTGAAAGTTTGACAAACTAAAACACGAGCCTACGGGCCAAAAAGCTGTTTTTAAAGAAAGAGAATCAACTCAGAAAAGCTAAGTGCCCCAAAGGGAAAAACAAACAGCAAAAAAACCCCTTACGTTTCTTGTGTTACCATGAAGTGAGCTGGCTGGCTTCCTGCACTTGATACCCTCATCCCTGAGCTCTCAGATATTTGAGGATGCCAAGACAACCTTTTAATTGGAACACTCATCAATATACCACCATCAAGTATCTCTGCCAACAGCCTGCCGATATGCCATAGCTGTCCATTTCAACGTATTTAATGCTTTGGTCTTTAGGCATGCTGTTTGCTACACTGAGCGCTAGGATTTAAGCAAGTACATATGCATAACCACAAGACATAAGACAGAAAAGTCACAGGGCAAAAACTTACCCTTATTCTGCTCGGCCAGTGCATCAGCGTGTTCCCAAATTTCATACGCGTAGAGGACATAGGAAGTGACATCGATATAGGAAGTGGCGATGTTTGGAATATCAGAGGGGACAGTGATTGGAGAGCCAATGCCGTTGCCACTGCAGTAGCTAGCGTTTGATCCTGGCTGAGAGCCTGCAGAACTGGCAGGAGAGGGCATTGAAGAATAAGGAGAAGGCAGTCCTGTGCTTCTGCAAGAGAAAGAAACACCACCAGGAATGTTTAACTTCAGAGCTAAAAGTCTTGCCACAAGACTATCTTACGCCAGGAGCTATCCAGTATCATCCAGGCCTGCAGTACGGAACGGAGTGTTGAGAATGGAGATGTGTTCAGCTACATAACAAGTAATTGTCCTTTGAGTGCAAGGTCAAGGCTTTTGAAGTGATTTGCAACTCTAAGGACAAATCCTGACAAAAGAAAATGCGGGACTAGACACCAGAAAGGGACATCCATCCACCTTCCAAAATCTACATCTACTTGTGGAAGCCTTCACCAGATTATATAAGTGGGTTTTTTTTCCTATAGTCTTCCATTTCAGGCATGCTGAAGCTCCCCACCTATGGAGGCTGGAGCTTTCTGGCAGCTAGCTAAAGCATCCAGGTCAGCCTACACACACTTATTTATAGATCTAGGGAAGCTCAATGTGGTCAGCTGCACGCCTTCCAGACACAAGCTGGCTTTGTCACACCGCTTCATCCCCACCACTTCAGCCAACCTAATTTTAGTCACTGGTACAAAAGGGCTTCCACCGCTGCTCTTGGGAGAACATGTACCTCCCAATAAATTGGGCTGTGCCAGGTGGCAGAAAAATAACTGGAATGTCAGCATTGCTACTAATGACCAAACCACCCTCTCTCAATTGCGGCGTTTAAAAGGGACAGACATGGAGCCAGGGAGCTATCTGCCAAATGTGATTATCACAGCACACAGAAAAACTTTTTCTTACTCACTGTCATCAAAACATAGGCCCAGTCTGCTGGGCAGCAGGTCAAAACACTGGCATGTGACAGCTTGCATTTTACTGTCGCTGCCACATACACAGCCACGCTGCTACAGACACACAGAAAGGACAAAATGCTCAATAACTCACAAATTAGAAAATTAGTTTCTTTTTTTCTTAATTGGTGACTGAGCCAAAGAGAAAAATATTAAAGTATCACCTCAAAGCTATGTTACCACAGGGCGAATGCATAATCCTACTGAACAGAGGCCAGGCAGACAGGGATAGTATCCCACTAAGTTTCAAGGGATCTCTAACAGAACAAAGATGACAACAACAGGAGGTCTAAAAGAGCAGAGTGATGATATCCTCCTTGCTCCTCTGACCTGCTTCTCTGGTGGAGAACTTCTCTGCTTGATGCGCGGTAACTCTGGACCTTGCAACAAAAAATACCAACCCTTTCCAAGGAGAAAAGACAGGAAAGAGCAGAAACATACTCATGACCCCTAACGGTGTAATTCTGGGTGGCAAGAAACAGCGAGTGGTGAGGCACTCTAAAATGCAGCTAGCAACTCAAATACTCCAGCTGCTGTTTTCACTCACACCCTTATAGATCCATTGCAACGTACATAATATTTTCAAATCTTACCTTGCAACATAAAAAGAAGGTGCTTGCATTGCTCTGGAAACACCCTGCGGCAAGGAACAGAACTCTTGTTAGGTTTAGGCTGTTCAGCCAACACCAGTAACTACCGCAGCCACCCAGCTGGCAGCTTAGTAGTATGAGTGCCCTACCCTGAAGTAGTCATTCAGGATCCTGGCAAACTTTCTGGCACAGTCTTTCTTGTGACGAAAAATTGCCATGTACAGAAGAGACTGGCAGCGCATGCTGTGAACAGAAACACACCCAACCGTCAGCATTCACGCTTGCTGCTGCCTGCCCAGCAGTCATCAGCCTTGTGGGACAGAGGCAGGCACACATCAGCTACACTGTAACCTCAAGAAAGCTCAGAATTTCTCCTCCTTCTGCTCATCTTAAAAAAAGACTGTGAAAAAAATCCCAAGGCAAAAAAAAAAAAAAAAAAGGAAGGGCCATGTCTGGTCTTTTATATAAACAGGTGCCCGGTCTCTCATAGGTGCCACGAGCTGAGTAAGCCCCTGCTCAGCAGTGCCTCAGCTATGTTCAGCTACAGCTTCAATTACACAGTTCAAACATGGGCAGCCAAATCACATTCTTTCACCTTAGGTGAAATCCCTTATGTGCTCTCAAGTTACCAGCAGATCAAATTTTAGAGCCTGTGCCTTCCACGTGTGGTCCCTTGTGATATTCTGGCTCACTTCAGAGATGTTCCAGTTCATTCTGGTTTTTATATTGTGGGTTTTTTCCCTTGCAGAACTCTAATTCCCATTTAACTCATTCCTTCACCCTTGAAAGTAATGGGTCTTTCACTCTTACCAAGTCTAAAAACAGAATATGAACGCACAGAAAAAGAGTTACGCACCATAACACGGCAAGGATTTTTTCATATGGAGATGCTGAGAAGTCTATAAAGCATTTCAAAGTCATGGTGAATCTAAGGAAACAAAACAAACATTTTGTCAGCCATCAGTGCTCTGAAGTCCCACTGTTTATGAAAAACCAGTACATGCCATTATCTCAAACACTGGTCAAAAAGTCAGGAAACCTGCCCTGAGTTCTTAGTCCTGCACCAAGTGCTTTGTATGATCTTGACTAGAGGACTGTGTCTGGAAATGCCTTGTTTTCCACGCAGCAGGAACAAACGTGGTCCCCTTTTGCGACTCACACTCCTCTTACACTGATTAATGAGCAACAACATCCTTACAAGTAGATGCCCTCCATGGGCCACCTGCAGGCCTGGGGCCCAGAAGAGGTGCCCGCACTACTGAAGGTGGAATATTAATTCAAGTGTTTCTGGATGAGACAGACATCTTAGTGGAAATGTTTCTTTTGGCAAAAAAAACAAACAAGCAAATCTCTTTTTTGAAAACAAAACAACGGCAGCAACATCTTGGAAATACAGTCCATCAAAGCCAGAAAGCAAACAATGTAATTTTAAAAGTTTGAAGTCTACCACAAAAAAATGCCTGACAGCTGTTTCAGCTCTAAGGCAAGAAGTCAAATCAGCTCTCGAAAACACTTACATTACCTGTAATTTCAAGATGAATAAAGTGATAGCTGTCTCTCTCCTATCTGATACACAGTTCCTTGGGTCGTGCTGCTTGTATGTGTCATACTATCTACATGCATCTGATGTGGTTGTGAAACTAAACGGGGAAGATTGCTAAGAGAAACCCCAGTAAAATGCACCAGTAGAAAGACGAATGGGAGAAATCAGTAAAATCTGCCTTCAATCAAGTTGCAAGACCTTTGAGGCACAAATTGCTCTTCCACGTGCTATATTGTTGCTTTGCATTTTTTTTTACTGAAATACTACTGAGCTCACAGGCAAAAGCAACTCCAGATCTGGATAAAGTAAAAACTCCTTCATGTCCTTGATTGCCATCATCAGCGTCCTCGGGCACACCTCAGCTGCAAGGCTCAAACACTGAGGAGGACATGGTGCCTACTTCTTCTGATAAGCAATGCTGAAACATTTCAGAGGATATGCCTCTGGTGCCTCTGGATGGTCTGTCTGTCTCGTGCTCGTACAGCACTCCGAATCTCTGCTCCACGGTGGGAATCCAGAGCTGCTGCAGCTGCCAACGAGCAATGCAACTAACCCTTCCCCTCCAAACACGCTGCCTAACCATGATGCTTTGAACATCGCTTACTTGAGAAGCTCTATGGTGTTGCAGAATATGCCGAAAGACGATTTTGGTGCTTGTTCGTCCGATTCCAAGGCAAGTCCATATTCAATGTAGTAAACCGCAGCAGCTAGGTACTGAAAGGCCCTTCCAGTCTTGTCGGTCTATTGGGAAGAAAATTCCCATTTTTAGACTAAGACAAAAACTACTCCTCTCAAGTGTACCTGAATTCCTTTTTTCTCCCTAGTTGGGTGGGATTTGAAGAAAGAAAAAGACGCAACTCAGGCCTCCGAGTGATAAATAAAGGGTTCTCAGATGAACCCCTAATGTGGTCCTAGTCATCAGCTTTGTGTGCTCTGGCTATTTGTACCTCTTCCTCTTGCTCAATGTTTTGCTTGCGCAATGTATTATCTTCACAGTCTTTCTTTGGGTATTACTGTCTGGGCTTGGAGGCCTGCCTCGTGAGAGGCGGATGGGGCTTTCCCACTGCAGTATTCCCTTACTTCATCTTCACAGGTAAATGGCAAGTAGCAAATGTGCATTACCTGCCTGAGCCATAATTAGCAAAAAACCACGTTCATTCATGCACGCTGTTGAACTGCACACAGTGGAGAAAGCCAGTTACATCTGCACAGGGCACTTCCAAGTCTCGTTCAACAGCAACACAATTACTGTCAGGATCCTGACGTTTCAGAGTAAACTCTTAAAACTAACTGTTCCATCTGTCTTCCAAGGACTTTGTGATAGCTCTGCAAAGCAAGCCGGCCTTCTAATCTCAGACAACGTCAATTCTGAATCCTATTCTCTGGATGTGTTTATAACAAAGGGGAACGCCTGAACATTTGACAAATAAAGACAGCCTCCCCACATACAACTTGAACGTACTCCAAGTATGGAGTATGGAAGCAACGTTAGCCAGCAAATCTTACTCGCACGCACACAGGTATGAGGTTGGAAGGCAAGAGTTGGTTAACATTTCCAGCACAGGGCCAAGACTTACCATTGCATCAGCTGTGTGCTTCAGCTTCTTGGCCTCTTGTATGTAGTATTCAACTGGATACTTTCTGAATTGGGGACAGAGAGAGGAAAAACAGAGAGAAAGGGTAGGATAATTATCAATTTTACCTTCATATCTAAAGGATGCTACGAGTCTAAATATCCTGTTTTGATAAGCCTGTTATAGCCTTATCAAACACAAGTTACAATTACGACAGGGACTAAATGAACGTTGTCTACATGTTCAGAAATACACAGCAGCTGAACGCACAGATAAAATGAATTTATGTCCTAAAAAACGTATATTATAATATATTCTCAAATAACATTGAAAACTTACATTTTGAAATGAAAAAACACCAGAGGTTGGGCTACTAGGAAGCCAAGTCTACTTCTTTGCTCCCATGGAAAGATAATAGTTATGTGATCTCCTCTTATCATTCCTTAAGTATGATACTACAAGTACATTTCGATTGAAACATGCAGTAAACTTTGCAGTGCCACACACTCATCTCAGACCAAAAGAGCTTGCATTCAAGCTATCTGCTCACAGAAGAGATGGTCACCAAGGCTTCTACAGGTCTTGGTCTCAGTCAACACGTAAACAATGACAAAGTTGGGCTATGCACATTTCTGTGTACTGGGATAATCTATTCCCTCCACGAAAGGCACACAGCCACCTGTGCACTAACAAAACAAGCAAGCAAAGAGTCATGCTCTCTCAAAAAAAGACAACTGCCTGCCCAGCACCTTGTCACAGAGGAGTTTGTCAAGAATCAGACAAATCAAAACCCATCACTGGCAGGCAGGCACAAGAGACACCTCCTCTCAGAGTTAAAAAGTACCTAATTTCTAGAGCAGCTTCCCTCAAACCAAGAACTGGTGGAACGAGTCCTTTGTTTTGTGGTGAGTGGGGTAAGTCCCAGACACAAGAAGGCAGTACAGGGCAGATCTCAGACATCTCTCTCTCTTTTTCCTCCCACAAGAAGTGCTCATTAAGAAGCAGAAACCAGGGTAGTTGCAGGGCCAGCCTCGTCTGCTGTCTTCAGAAAGTACAGATGAGGGATGAAACAAAAACTTACTTTTCAAACTTGTATTGAGGTATGCTTGGCTTGGAGTTACCATTTGGCAAAGAAGGCACTGGGAAAGGATTTGTGACATCTCCTGCACGTTCCTGAAAAAACACAGATTAGAGATAAAGCTGGTTAGAGAGATATGTCTAAACCAATTCCAAAGCCTGGCTTTCCCAAATTTCAAGAGAAAGCGTTTATTTGTCCCACGCAGTCTATTCTGCAGGCTCTCTTCCTCTTCTTACGTTCTTTCCCTGCACTCTCTCCAATAATGGAAATGGAAACTTGGCTTCTTACCTGACTGCTAATACCATTCAAACTTTTCCCAAGCATGAAGACATCAAGTAGCAGGTTTCCTTGCACAATGTCTAAGATAGCAGTAACGTTGCAAGCAGCCCATTTTTCAGGGCCACTAGCCAAGGCAGGAATGGGTAATATATCCATTCACACTTATTTCCAGCTTAACCACACAGCAATTGCTGATTCTCCGTTACTAATCACATTATCAGGAAAAAGCAAGCAGTTAGAAGCCAGCTAATACAGCGTGCGCAGTCTGGCTTAACACATGCGACAACATCCTAGACCACACACACCCAGCCACCAGTAAACAGCACTATAAGTTAATTTTATAACCCAAAAATGCAAAGATCCAGCTGCAAGGATCATGAACAATTTTGTAAGCAAGCTATAAACCCTATACCCAGGTTGCAGGCAAAATTACAGGTTGCTTATTTCTTTCTTTTAAGCAATCCACCCTTTCTTTTTGTAAACACACTTACTTTTACACCAATATTGTACTTGCAGTTGCCTACAGTCAAAACCAGTTACTACCATAAGCATGGTTCTCTTGCCTTTGGTTTTTACATGGTCACCCCTTCTCACCATGTTTCACTGGTGAGATGAAAACAGATGATGGAAAATCAGCAGAGAAGTTACAATGCAGGCTTTCAGGCTAGCAACACATTGTCACAGGTGGCCGTTAGAGGGGAAAAATGCTTCAAAGAGCATTTCTGGTGGTTGGTTTATCTTCCTTCCTTTTTAATATCCTCAGAGATCACACAGCACCCATGGGTCGAAGGAAACATCACGCCAGTTATAATGGATACCTACTTTGATGCCCTTCAATGGTTCAGCGTCATCTCTCTCCACTTTCATGTGCTTGGGGATCAAAGGATCCTTGTGGTTGCTCTTGATCTTGGCAGTGTTATCCATGGCAGGGAGCTCGTCACTCTCACTTCTGGGTCTCTTTTGGGCCATCTTGGTTGACTTTGGTGCAGAATGTGCAGAAGACATGGGTGGCAGTGGATCTTTCTCCTGAGTTTCAGGTGAAGCTTTTAATGCTCTGGAGGTAGGAAGCGAATTCAGCAATTGGGATGAATATGGTGTACATATAACATAGGGATTTTTTAAAAACTTAGTTACATCATGTACTAATTCTGTTTAAATTTCTCTGGAAGTGTGAGATGACTAGTTAACATAAAGAATTCAACAAAAGCAAAATGAAACTTCAGGGACTTCATCGTGCACTAGATACCACATCTTCAGCTGCCAACAACAAACAAGCAAGTCGCTTTTCAAGTAGGAATAAGCCTCGGGACTTGTCCTTGGAATAAAGACTTGCAACCAGGATATCAGGATGTTGCAAAAAAGGCATCCCTCCAACACAGCCCCTTTTCGCTGAAAGGGGAAGAGAGGTAATTATAGCGACTAAAATCCCTGGGACTAAAATCACCCAACAAGGCAAATGAATTGAATCACTGTCTCTCTCCCCAGTATGGTAGAAGGTATCTTCTGTGGTCAGAAATACTCACACTGACACACAATCCTGTATGTGCTTTGACAGAATTAAACTGAGTTGTTCCTTTGAGACTTGCCAGCTTCACTAGACAACACTTACAAACCTGAGAGGATTCAAGCGAGACAGACATAAAATACTGTGCTTTTAAATGAGAGAGACAAGCACATTCAATACAAAGGTGGCATATCAGGTTTCTGATCACCTAAAGTTAGGATTACCAGGGAAATCCGGCAGCTCTAAGCACCACCAAATAGCGCTAAACCTTGTTTCACTACTGCTCATTTTCATAGAATGGTTAGGGTTGGAAGGGACCTCAAAGATCATCTAGTTCCAACCCCCCTGCCATGGGCAGGGAAACCTTCCACTACACCAGGTTGCTCAAAGCCTCATCCAACCTGGCCTTGAGCGCTTGCAGGGATGGGGTGTTTTATTTTTATTCAGCTTCTCAAAGCTTCCAAGAAAACACTGAGCAGTGAACTCATAGACTGCAACATCAGAAGAGGAGGAAACGAAGTTAAATTCAGTGAGAAGACTGAAGTGTGACGTTGCACATCTCACTTCGTTCTGCTGTGCATGGGACAGTCCTATCTCCTCTTTCACAACCTACTTTTTCCATGGTGCAGTCCCTACTCACTGCGCAGAGGCTCCCCAGCTTCACTACCTTGGTACAGCTGATGCTCCAGAGAGGACTATTTTACACAGAGTACACCAGTATGCCCTTACCAGATCCAGAGTCCTCTCTCCTCAAAAATGTATCCTATCCTTCCCACTCCAAAAGCCAGAACATGGCTAAAAAGGGTGCTCATTTTCACTGAGAGAAAGGGACGAATGAACTCCAGAATTAAAGCCCTTCCATTATTACCACAGCTGTAACATCCCTTCACCCACCTAAACGTTAGCCCCAAGGTCTCCGTGCTTTAGGAGTACCTCAATGTTTTATCTGCAGAAAAGCAGTTTACTCATACTGTCAGGACACAAACCTCAGTGCTACGTACCGACTCAAGTCAATACCTCCAGTTCAAGCCACAAGCAAGCAGGAATTGAATGCAGCACCCCATGACTGATGAATGAGCCTCCCTTCTCAGAAACACTGCCCATTTGAAGACGTGCTCTTGGAAGCATTCACTCTAGCAAAGACGGTTTTAGTGGAGAAGGGAAATGCTCCCTACCCTCACCCACCTACACATACATATGTTTTCTGGACTGGGCTTTGCACGTTTCACTCCTACACAAATTCGGGCCAGTCGCAGTGAAAAGCCTATTGGTACTGCGGCATCTTGGTTTGGTTAGAGAAAGGGGGAGCTGCACATCCATGTGCTTCTGGAGCATCCCAGTTAAGTGACCTCGCACAGCAGCAAGGTGAGAAAACAGAGCTCTGCAATACCCACCACATCCAGCTCTCTGTTCTCAGCTGCGAGAAGACAGGTCTCACCTAGCACAGACACCGCATGCATCAGTAGCCAGCGGTCAGTGCTGTTCAAAGCCTGCAACTCGTGACAGCAAAAGCAGCTGAAGGAGCAGACAGCATCAGCATTAACACCTGACTTCTTTCTTTCATCATGACACGTCCAATTAAGAAAACAGCAATGATCCCCAAGTCAAAACCTACGGATGTGCAGTTACACTGAGTGCAACATCCTTTCCCAAGAGGCTGCCAGAACACACTCTGCTGTGGACATGATTGCTCAGTCGCAGGAGCGAGAGTCACGACATCTGGGCCACACTTTCAGCTATTTCACCTGTTTGCGGTGGGAGTCTGAGCAAGCAACTCAGCTGGTTTGCACCTCAGTTTCTCCATGTGCAAAATGTGTTCACATCATCTTCTCACTTTACATAGACTAAGAGCTTTAAACGCATGTCAAGTATCATGAATCTGATAAAAAGCTTTCTGCTGCTTCCCATGCAGCAAGAGCACAAACTTCCCAAAAATAAGTATGACAGTAGAACCCAGAACAAGGAAGACGGGCAAAGAAACAGAAGTTAATAGAATGGCTTAGGTTGAAAAAGAACTTTAAAGATTGTCTACTGAGTCCAACTCCCTTTTTAAAAGCCTTTTAAGGCTAATTCAATTTCTCATGAGAGTAGAAATAATTGATACTTGAACTCTCAAGTCTTACCTAGAATCATAGAACAGAATCATAGAATGGTTTGGGTTGGAAGGGACCTTTAAAGGTCTAGTCCAACCTCCCTGCAATAAGCAGGGACATCTTCAACTAGATGGCAAGTTCTCTTGCCATCCCCTGAAGCCCCTAAACTATCATCATGTAGAACAAACACAGCTACTCCCCACAGAACAGCTGCCGCCTCCCAGATCATCTAGGGCAATCATCTGCTGACAGATTACCACTGCTGAGGAACCTTCTCCAAGTTTGGAGAAGGGGAAACGATTCCTGCATCCCTGCAGGCAGGCAGTCTACCACAGTGTTTGCAACTCAAACAACATATAATTTTGCACAAATTTGTTTCCTGCATCTGATCTGAAAGACAGCAGCACAAATAGTAGCCTACCGACTTAGAAGGAAAAGTGGTACAGGCCCAACTGGCAATTAAATTTCTTGCAGCACAGGCAGATTTTTTGAGCTATGTGTAACATATGGATCAGAGCCTGCAGCAATATAAGCTGCAGGATGGACAAGTTCATGTTTAAAATGGTGAAGTCTTCATTCCCATCTCAACTGTTAGAAGTTTGACAAATGGTACAATGTTCAATGCTGTTGCAGTAGTGTAAACCAAGTATGGGAGGACGACCAGCCACTGAAACATCAACTTATGCTTGAATGGTTAGAATGAATCATAATCCTCAGCTTTAAGAAGGGAGAGGAAGATAAAGTGACACCCAAGTATCACTTCACATCTGCAACATATAAAAAGGTGAATAAATTACATTCCCATAGCCACATGGTTGGTTCAAAGGTGTAAAGATAAATCTGAGGCAGATTAAGTTTCAGAAGGCACATTATGTTACAAACTCATAAGGACAGGGGACACAGTTCTTCACCTTAACCTTTTTAAGGAAGACTCAGTTTTACGCATTTTCTGTCATCCCACCACTGGATACTCACTTCAATTTATCAGAGTCTTTGTTAGCTGAAGACTGCAATGATTTTGTTTCTTTTTCTGATTTCATTTTCTTCCTATCAATCTCGTCCTCCACTTCCCTCTAACAGGAAGAAAGAAAAAAAAAAACACTCAGGTTTTGAAAATTCATGTAAAAAAAAAAGATAAGATATTGGTACTGACAAAGTAGAAACCCAGAGCACAGTGGATATAGATTTCAGGCTTACCGACAAGTATCCTAAAATGACATTTTATCTACTTTTGCTTGGATATATTAATTATTTTGCTGTGGTGGGGATGGAACTGCTAAACCTTTCGTTGCCAATAGTAATCAAAATTAAGGCACATCCATTGAAGAACATAAGCATTTCAACTATTCTGGATGGGCTTTTTTTTTTCCTACTCAGTATGAATTGTACAGAAGTGTGTTCAGATTCCTCCTGGCAAAGTCATGAACTGCAAGCAATTCTGTTTGTGACACGCCTTATCAAAGGGAAGGGTAAAATGGCTTTCACAGGACAGTGAGATCACTCAGATGCCCCAGGTGTGCAGGAGCTTTTGGTTTTATTAACAAGGACCTAATATAAGCGAAATTTTGAACAGTCAGTTAAAATCGCTGCCATTGTCCTCCAGAAGAACAAGAACACTAAGGCAGAGGGGTAATAAATAACACCTTTTAATTGCGCTCCATAGATCTTACAATATGAAGCGTGCAAATCACCAGCTCATCTGAAAGAAAAACTTCAGAATAATTCGCCACAAGCCAAGAAAACTGCACCCATCAGTCAGTGTTACCCATAGTGTGCCTGGTGGTAGCCAAAAGCACTCCTGGCCTTTCTCTCTCTCCCAAGAGCACATCCAGGTTTATGTCACTCTGATGGAGCTCAGAGGGTTGCGCTTGCCTCAGATTCTGTCTCTGGCAGTGTGCTCAGGGCAAGGCTCCAGCACCTGGATAACGTCCTTTAAATAGCTTCTCAGGTTGAACTCCACACTGCCACAAAGCACGTCTGACAGCTGTACCTGACCTAGCTGGCTGCAATGAAGCCCGAGCCTCCAAGGGCACTGATGCCCGCTGACACAGTACCGATGGTGAGGCTCTGAGGTGGGTTTTCCTGCAAGCAGACACTCAGACTGCAAGAGAAGATAGGTCTAACATCAAATAGTTCTTCTCTTGGGTCTTTGAGACAACCAGAAGAACACGGATTTACTACCTGTTTACCCTTCTCCTACTGCTCTGCAAGACGGGGACTGTCGGGGCCTCTCAAGTTTCTTCACCATTTCCCTGCTCTCTCAATTCTCCCCCACAACTATGGGAAGTTCAGAAGTGACAAGACTAAACGAAACCCACGGGGAAACCAAGGTTATTCACCCATACGTGCTAAGCCATCTCCTTTGTGAGAAGGACCAAAAAGGTCTACAGGCACTGAAAAACCCACAGTGAACACCCATTCACCATACGGCCTGCAGTCAACTCTTTGTGCAGCTGAACCAGTATAGTCACAGTGTCCTTTAGGAGTTAAGCTTTCCAAAAAACACTTGCGAGCAACTACCATCTCAGTTACATGAAGGACTAACTTGTAATCCAAGGGAAAGCAACTATTAAAGCTGAAGGACTCTGCAAAGGGGTCTCTGGAAAGCCCCTTACTGGAAACATGCATCTTTGAAGCATGAGCATCGCTGCTAGCACCACAGCAGCTCCAGGGAACACCAAAGAAGTTTTCTGTCGGAGTGCAGATCCTTGAAGAGACTGCACGAAGAAAAACCCTGTGTAAATAAGGACTGGAGCTCTAAAGTTAGGCCTCAGGGGCAGAATGCCCTTGAAGTTAAGGATAAGAAAACTATGCAGCATGATAAGGGAGTAGTGTTTGCTTAGAGCAGAGCTTCGCTAGGCGGGTACCTGTTTGAAATAAGCTGTTAAATATGACAAGCATATGTATCATCCAATAATGGTGTAGAAAAGGTGTGGTCTTAGGATTATTGGCAAATACTGCCTATATAAGCAATAAGAACTGCGCAATAAACGAGACTTCCTGCAGCTAACTCATATTGAGTCGTCTCAGTACTTCTCCAAATCCCTTCTCCGCAGTTTTCCACATGTTTATCCAACCGCTGAGAACCAAAGCAGGGCTTAGTGATGGTTGTTACTATCAGTGAACCTGGCTCAGTTAAAAGTCTGCGTTTATGGAAAAGCAGAAGGCATAAGACTGCTGCCACCACCCCTAGTAATAACACAGCTCACACCTGCAGAATTCATTCCTCTCTGTGTAAGCAAGCAATCATGACAGTTTCATGGAAATAAATGGCTCCACACAGGAAAAGACTACACTACTCAGACTGAGGTTGCATGGCTAAAGGCAGCAGAAGGTGCATACATGGAAAAAAAAAACCCAAAAACCACAGACCAAGGAGGCCTGGATGAGTTCTCCCTCTGGGCACCCCCTCAAACTGCAGGCAAGGTGCTCTCCCACAACACGGATCGAACGGGTAGCGCAGATGGCTGCAGTCTGGGAGGTGCTTCAGATACTGTGCTGCTTTTAAAGGGGTTGCAGGGGGAGAGGGCACCGCAGCCCTTCAAAGCTCTGCTTGGGCTGAAAGCTGGAGAAACCCACAGACGTTACCAGGGGGCTGACACAGCCTGATGCCAAAAGCTCCTCTGATACGGGAGGGCTGGGGTTGTGTTGTTTGAGAAAACTAATATTTCAAGTAAGCACAGCAAAAAAGTCTTAAAACACCAAAGCATTTGTTAGACAGCTTACAGGGCTTTTCATTTGCGTGGCAGGGGCTTCATGATGAACAAGAAACATCTGTGGACAGTTTTGATAGACGTGCCCTTTAGAAGTTTGATAACATCTTTCTAGGAGGAGTGTAATGGGTCCACTCCCAACCTATGAAGCAGAAATGAACTCTCCCCATGGGTTTCCCTAACACCACCTTGGTCCTTGTACGAACCCACCTCCACCTCTAACCTTCTCACCTTCCTCTTTTGAAGAGACTTGTCAGAAGCATCCGTGGTTTTCCTCTTCAACTCCTTCTTCCTTTCATCAGGGAGTTCCTTGGTCTCTGCTTTCTCCTGCTGACTGTCTTTCCTGGGGCGCTCAGGGACTCTTGACAGGAGAGAGAGATCTATTTTCACCTTGAGGGACTGAGGGGTAGGGGACTTCTTCTCTGGTGAGAGCAACTTTTTCTCCTTGATAGGCAGGGGAAGTTTCTCCTTGTGAACATCCTCTTTGGTCTTGATGGCAGGCCTGTGGCCACTAGTCTCGGTGAGGGTTGTGTCCTGACCTTGAGGAAGGGGACTGAGAGTGAGATGGTCCTGGGCACTGCCCGGCAAAACATCTTTCACGAGCTTGGGGTCCAAGACGGTTTTGGTGCTGGTCTGGTGGGAGCTCTTGTGCTTTCTGTTCTCACAGGTCTCTTGCAGTGTCAGCTTTGGGTCTTTTCTGTCACTGGATTTTGGCTTCCCTTTTGTTTTGACTTTTAGCTTGTCCTTGGAAGACTGGTCTCTGACCTCAACAGAACTAGGGTCCTTCTCCAACTTCAGGGCTTTCTTGGGCCCCTGGTGCTCCGGGGCCTTGCTGGGCCTTTTGATCCCCACAGCCTGCTTGGGCGAAGCCTTCTTAGTGCACACAGAAGACTTCTGGCTGTTGCTTTTGGTTGGAAGATGAGCATCCTGAGGAGTCTTGTCTGCTTGGCCGGAGCTCTTGTGGCAAGGCTCCCTCGGCTCTGTGCGCTGGTCGGAGGAATTGCTGCTGATGTCCTGCTCCTGCTTCTTGCCCTCTTTGTGTCCATCTCCATGGGTGATTTGGCCGAGACTGTCTGTTGGCACTGCTGGTGGGTTCACCTTGGTTAGCCAGTTGTCAAGCTGCCACTTATTATTATTACCACCCACTGTTGGTGGGTCAGGCTGCAGATAAAAAAAGAAAGGAAGGATGCAGGACTGATAACTTTATGGGCTATTTCCATCCTAGCACAGCTTACGAGAACCCAGTAAAACTTCCCCTTACTGTTAGAAGAGCTGGAAAGACTATGAGACAGTGGAGATGCTCTAGTGTGTGCACATCAACACTTACTTCAGAAACGCAGACCTCGTTTTTGCACAGGATCAGCCAAATGTGTTGCACAGCACTCCTGGATCCCTGCTCTACCTGTCACCCAGTAAGAGATCAGCCTAACGCGAAAGCTTCAACTCAGTTTGCCACTAACCAACATTGTTGCACAATCACACAACACAAAAAAAGCAACAATTGTAAAAACAGATTAGGTGCTGTCCTCGCCACACTTTTGGAAAGTTATTTGCACGCAGCACTGCTTTCAACATGGATGAGGAGCTGTGCCAGCTATCACATCTTGTTGAAGTCTGACAGGTAGGCTGTCAGGCTCCTGTGGTTTAGCCAAAATAAATTGTACAGTCAGCACATGAAGTCCAATCTCTTCCAAGTCCTCTACCTACACAACCCAACACTCGCTTCCCTCTGGGTCAAGCGAGACATGAGCAATGACTGAGGTCTGAAGGTTTCTGAAGTCACATAACGTAATGTGGTGGCTACAAGTCTTGCCTAATCTAACAGTAGTCTGACAAAATTATGAGAAAAGCAAACCCAACTAACCCTAAAACAGACAACAGAAGCTGCAAATCAGGGGCATGAATCTCTGGGGCCCACCCTGAAAAAACGACGTATGTGTCAGCATCACTCAAATGTGTAGCTCATTATCTGGGCAATATTGGAGCACAGCTACACTCCCGCCCTCACCGATTCTTCCCAGTCCCAACTCTCGCTTCTGAGAAAGCACGGATTGTTTTACATCAGTTGCAGTCCATAGGATATAACCATGCACTTCCCACTGGCCTGAGAATGTTTCGCAAGCTGGAGTTAACTGTTTGAAGCCATGGAACATGAGCACTCCTGCAGCAGATTTTTAAAAAATGCATGGTCTCAATTATGAAACTTTAAGGCACCAAGTTCTGTTTGTCTGCCTTTCCCAATAAAAGCCTCAGAAATGCCAGTGTAGCACTATCTGAGCCAAACTCAACAGAAGCAAGTCTAAGCACATTCCAGCCCTTCCTGCAGGTCTGATCACTTCAGCTGCGCTCTGGGAGAAGCTGAATCTGTCATGCATGCACAGGAGCTGCAGGGAGGCAGTAGCTCTTCTTCATGTGTCAGGAAACTGGTCTCAACCTGAAGCAGCCCATAGCCTTAGAACCCAGAAAAGCTGCGCGGGCAGAGATGGGCCTCAAACAAACAGCCCAGCCAAGCCATGCTTCTCATCCGCACCCTGCTTGTGTCTCACCAGTGAAGGCACTAATTCCTCCAGGAGTGCTAGACAATGATGTCAAAGGAGAAGGGGGAACACTTCAAGGGTAGGTACTTAAAAGTCTAATTATGCTGTTACTACGGGTTTTTTAATTGACAAACTCTAGAAGGAAAGCAAAGGGCAAGAAAAGTCTGATGATGTAGCGAAGACGCCACGGGGACACCTGAATGACAACGGTATTTCAGGTCTCCTACCCTGATTGCATCCAGAGAGTCTGAGGCTGTATTAAGCAGCCTCTACATTTTATTTGCACTCACCTCAGGCGCTGACGCTTTCTCTCTCTGAGGGTTGTTATCTTTCTTGTCACTTGAGGTGCTCTCCGAGTCTGAAGAGCTTGAAGAGCAGCTTGAAGAGCTCCCTGAGTCACTGGAGCTCCCTGACTTCGAGCTGCTGGAATGTGCTGATGCCGCACTCTTGGGCTGGGACTGTAGGGCACTGCAAGGCCACCATGAGATAAAATTAGAAAGCAGCATGGATGAAGGTTACTTACTAATTATATTGACATGGCAGGATTCAAAAATAAAACTGAAACCCCATGTTTTATCACTGAGAGGAGAGGGAAGAAGGCCAAAGGAATACATTGCCATACTCAAAAGATAAAGCACCAGAATAAAAAACCTCAGGAAATAATAAAAACTTCAACTCCAACCCAGTCAGACAAATACGCAAGCAGGATGTCACTGCTACAATATGAAGCTGTATTTAGCCAACCAAAGTTTAGAAAACAACCGAAAGCACTTTTCTGAAAGCCCCAACCCTCAAAAGAAAAATTTCCAATAAAGGCTAACAGAAACATACAATCCAGGATGGTTTCTCGGTTTTGTATTCTCCCCCTTAAGTTTTCATTTAATCTGTGTTACTTGGTCAACATGCTTAATTGTTTTGTTAACTGCTGCTGTCAAGCAGCAGTGGTTTCTTGCAACACCCTCTCCTACTCAAAAGTGTTTTCCTCCAGCAGTGACAATGGGATTGGATGGACCTGAGAGCACCATGACTTTTATGCACAGCTGCTTTTTGTTTTGAAATGGACTTATGAAATCAAAATGTTGATTTTTTATTTTTTTTTAAACTTTGAAAACGGTTTCTCACATCAATATAAACACATTTGTATAATTTGGAGGTCAGCTCCTCGCTGATCCAGACTGATATCGTGAGAACACTCTTATTTCAAGAGCTTGCAGAGATGCAGATCATTCCAAGAATTAGTGTGCCCTTCTGCAAGTCTGACTTTGTAGACCATTACCCTGTGCTCAAAGAATATAGATATAAAGCCAAAACATATGGCATTGCTCTCCTATAGGAAAAATTCTGGGCTCTCCTCCTTTCCTCCTGTAATGCTGGCACGTGGCTGTTCGGTTGACCTTAAATATTCCATCTGAGTAAACAATACATGGCAGGAGCTGCTTACAATCAGTTGCCTTATCAGGAGGAGCTGAAACAGCCTCAATGAGTCTACCTAACCCTTTTCTGCTCTTCACTCACTTGGCTGTTTTGAGCTTCCTTCTGAACTAAAATTGGACTCACGCCTCACCCATTACTACTACAACTGAAAATCCTATTAGCTCCAGTGTGATCTACATAAATACTGGTAGAGGGGAAGAGGAGAAAAGAAGTGAACAGTTGGGAAAACACAGTTCTGGTTCACAGGCAAAATCCAGCATGCCTGGATTAATTAGTTTCTAATTGGAGCTTTCTGTAAAAGCCCACACAACTAAAGCCAATTTTCAACAACAGCTTCAGGCATCTAGAAACCAAAGCCTGTATCTACAAGAGAAACCAAGAACCTTACCCATCTACCCCATATATTAAAAGTAGTTTTGTTTTTCCTCCTTATTTGGTCTATCTAGTAGTTTGGGAACAAACCTGTACCTTGGAGAAGCAAGTGAAGAAGGTGGCTTTTCAACAACCTGTTTTGTTCACAAAAACAAAGAGGAGAGGGGGAGGAAAGGTTAGCTTAAGGAACTCAGAACAATGCAACAAGACGTGATGATTTAAAGGGATGTCTGTGTGCCTAGTGTATAAAACATCTAAAACTGACTTGGTCGTCACCACTCTCTTCACTATCACTGAGCTGCAGGTCGTCCGGAAGCATTCTGAAAGACAACCAGAAGATAAATATCAGCCAAGGCAGACACATTTTCAAGCAGCAGACACTGAAAAAGACTTGGTTTGCACTTGCCAAAAGAAACCAACCTCCCACATTCTTTCTGATCGCTGGGCATGCTCAATCTGCTAAACCCTGTCATTACCTGAATGAATGATAAAACGATAACACACAACCTAGGCATCTTTCTGTGCTTTCCAACTGATCTCAGGACATTTTGTAATGGAGGTCAGTATCATTGGCTGCCGTCTACAGACAACAAAGATCAAGATCCATGCAGAGACTGCTCCTCAACAAAGGCTACACTAACACAGCAGGGGAGGTTGGAAGAAGTCTGATCCTTGTACAGCAAGAGCTATTACAGCACGCTATTGTCTCCCCAAGGGGCAGAGAGCTTCGTCTTTGCTCCACAGGCTGTGTGTGTTCTCACTCTCTGCTCTCGGGGCCTGCAAATATTTCTTCTGTCACAGGGGTTCTCTTTTTGCTCCTGAAGTCTCCTACCACACACACGTAAGTAAACGCCAAGGTCAAGCCTATCTCCTATTTCTTCTCTACACAACGCGCTTCATGCTCCTGCACATCTCAGCAGTGACCGTAACACGGCGCCGTTCAGATGCTCAAAGCAGTTACAAGCAGGGAGGTACGACCTCTGGTTTACTATCGCTAGCGCAGAGAGCAGGCTGCCTGCAAAACCTTTCCAGAAAGCACAGCTTAGTCCTCTGCTTGCAGGTGGTAACTACTGCATGCAATTTCAATGCGTTACCAAGCTCCTCAAAAAGCTGGAAGGGAAGGACTTGTGGGGAGGGACCCAAAGTTCTCCGACATTGCTGTCTCCCTCTTTGGCAACCATGCAGGCATCTCAAAAGGAGTTGGAAAAGAGACAGGCAAAACTCTCACTATTCAAAAGCATAACCATTCAAATCTCAAAACTAGCTGTACACCGACTCCTCAATCCAGAAAATTACACAAGCATCATTCCAAAAACAGGATAAAAAGTTTGGGAATTGAGACAGGGATTTTAATCAATCAGGTAAAAATTCTTTTTATTTCAACCTTGTTTCAAACTGAGGGCGCCCTGTGAAAAACTTTTTCTCGTGCCCAAATAAGAAAAATAAGCCTTCAACCTCTTACGATAACACCTTTTACAGAAAAAAAACAAATATGAAAGATCCCCAGTGAACCACATCACCTTGGAAAAGCGGGAGAGGGTTAGTG